GGGGGCTATGGGACTGGGTGTGTTAGATATGGACAGTGTAGAGGGGGATATGGGACTGAGTGTACGTGTTGTTCGCTGGAGAGTTGGTTCAGGTGGATGCTATCATTTGACCCTTTCACTTTTGTACAGGTGAACTGTACGACCAGGATGCTGCCTCTCTTCAGCTGAAAGTTATTCACTACGTAAGTCTTCAATTGACTAATTTGTCATAGCTCTTGTGGGTATTCCTGTAAAACAATTACAACGAGGTGGGAAGGAGACTGAGAAGATTGTCGGTGTAAAAGCTGATAAGCTCCTGATGACGTGAACAGAAGCTGTTGGAAAAGCTCAGCAGGTCTGGCAGCACCTGTGACGAAAAGATCAGTTAACGTTTTGGGTCTGGTGACGCTTCCTCAGAACTGATGGTAGCTGGGAAAACGTCGGTTTATATGCAGAAAATAGGGAGGGGGATGGTGTAGGGAGTGAATGATGGGATAGAGCCTGAGGAGAGGGAAGAGAAATTGGACTGACAAAGAAGTTGATAATGATCGGACATGAGAGAGTTTAGGCCGTAAGATTATTGAACTTGATATTGAGACCAGAGGGCTGCAGGGTCCCCAAGCGGAAAATGAGGTGTTGTTCCTCCAGCTTGTGTTGAGCTTCACTGGAAGCCAGAGACAGAGATGTTGGCCAGGGAGCAGGGTGGTGTGTTAAACTGGCAAGCAACAGGTAGCTCTGGCTCTTTTTTGTGACCATAATGTAAATGTTCTGCGAAGTGGTGACTCAGTCTAAGCTCCTGATAATATCACCTTTAGGTGTTAAAGTGTTAGCCACTGACATAGCAGAGGCATTTTCCAAAATTTCATTGATTCTAGAAAAGTCCTTTCGCATGGGAGATAACACAAAAGGAGGGAGACAGGAAGCAGGAATCTATGAGCCAAACATCTGGCAGTGGGCATATTATAGCAGGGGATTTAGAAAGTCTCATGTTTTTATGAAAGAGAAATGGTATTTGATGAATTTATTAGAATTCTTTGAGAGTAGAACAAGCAGGATAGATAATGGGGAACTGGTAGATGTGGCATATTTGGTTTGCTGGAAGGTCCATCAAAGGTTACTCTGAGGATATTGACGAATTCTTCTAATTCTGCTTCTGTGTGGGAGATCAAAATAAAAGAACAGAACAGCGTAGGAACAGGCCCTTTGGCCCACCAAGACTGTGCTGACACATGATGACGTTCTAAATTAAAAACTTTCTTTCGCTACACAGTCCATATCGCTCTGTTCCCTGCCTAGTCATCTTTCTGTCACGATACCTTTAAATGTTGCTGTTGTATTGACCTCCACCAGTCCTCTGGCACATTCCAGGTACTTACCACCTTCTGTGTAAATACCCTGCCGCTCACATCTTCTTTAATCTTAGCCCCTTTTACCTTCAACCCATGAGCTCAAGTAATTGACCTTTCTACCGTGGGAAAAAGACTCTGACTATCCATTCTATCCACGCCTCTCATCATTTTGTAAACTTCTGTCAGGTTTCCCCTCATCCTTCGACATTCAAGTGAAAACAACCTAAAGTTTGTCCAATCTCTCCTCATACCTAATACCCTTCAACATCCTGTACCCTCTCCAAAGCCTCCAAATCATTTTGGTAGTATGGTGACCAGAACTGTACACAATATTCCAGTATGACCTAATTAAAGTTTTCTCCAGCTACAATGTGATTTGCATATTTTTATACTGTATACCCTGAATGATGAAGGCAAGCATGCCATATGCCTTTTTAACCACCTATCCCTTCTGCTGCCACTTTCAGAAAACTGTGAACCTGTACACCTAGATCTCTCTGCATGTTGATGATACTAAAGATTCTGCTATTTACTGTATACTTCCGTGCTGTATTATATCTCCCAAAATACATCACCTTGCATTTGTCCTAATTAAGCTCTATCTGCCATTTCTCTGCCCAAGTCTCCAGCCTGTCTATATCCTGCTGTATCCTCCAGCAATCCTCCTCACTATCTGCAGCTCCCCCAATCTTTGTGTCATCCACAAACTTACTAATCAGGCCACCCACATTGTCTTCCAAATCATGTATATGTATTACAAACAAGAAGGGTCCCAGCAATGATCCCTGTGGAAGATCACTGGTTTCAGATCTCCATCAGCAGAACAGCCTTCCACTGTTACTCTCTGACTTCTATGACCAGTTCTATATCCATTTAACCAGCTCACTGTGGATCCCATGTGACTTTACCTTCTGTATCAGCCTACCATGTGGGACCTTGTCAAAGGCCTTGCTAAAGTCCATATAGACAACATCTACCACTCTGCCCTCATCAATTGCCTTTATCACTTCCTCAAAAACCTGAATCAAGTTTGCGAGACATGACCTTCTCCACACAAAGCCATGTTGCATATCACTAATAGGTCTATATTTTTTCAAATGTGAGTCAATCCTATCCCTCGGAATCTTCTCCAATAATTTCCCTACCACTGCCTTAAGGCTCACTGACCTGTAGTTTCTTTGATTATTCCTGTTGACCTTCTTAAACAAAGAAACAGCATTGGCCGTTCTCCAATCCTGTGGGACCTCTCCTGTGACTAAAGAGGATGCGACGATTTTATACAAGGGCCCAGCAATTTCCTCACATGTCTCTCTCATCATTTTGGGATAAATCCAGTCAGGCCCTGGGGAGATAATAAGAACTGCCGATGTTGGAGTCAGAGATGACACAGTGTGGAGCTGGAGGAACACAGCAGACCAAGCAGCATCGGAGGAGCAGGAAAGCTGACATTTCAGCATTTCTGAAGAAGGGTCCCGACCCGAAACGTCAGCTTTCCTGCTCCTCTGATGCTGCCTGGCCTGCTGTGTTCCTCCAGCTCCACACTGTGTTAGGCCCTAGGGACTTGTCTGTCTTAATGCTTTACAAATACCCAACACCACCTCCTTTTTTATATTGACGTGCTGCAGAATACAAACATATCCTTCCCGAAACTCTCAACTCACCATCTACCATGTCATTTTCTGTTGTAAATACTGATGCAAAGTATTCAGTAAGGATACATTAGGGACATTTAAGCGACTCTTGGATAGGCACATGGATGACAGTAAAATTTAGGGTATGCATGGTAGTTTGATCTTAGAGTAGGATAATAGGTCGGCACAACATTGTGGGCCGAAGGGCCTGTATTGTGCTGAACTGTTCTATGTTGTATGACCTCACACACATCCTGTCACTCTATGCATAAGTGCCCTTTTCCCTAGCTACCCAATGCTCCTCATATATCTATAAAACACTTTGGGATTTTCCTTCATCTAAAGACATTCCATCCCCCCTTTCAGCCCTCCAAATTCCTTGCTCGAATTCCTTCCTGTTATCTTTGTATTCTTTGGGCTGTTTTCAGTTTCCTAAACCTCACTTAACCCTCTGTTTTCTTTTGACTAAACTATCTTGTCATCCAAAGTTCTTGAATCTTGCCATCATTATCCTTCATTATCACAGGAACATGCTGCTCCTGAACTTTATTCAACTGGCCTTTAGAAGATTTCCACATGCCAGATGAGGATTTATTCTCAAACAGCTGCTCCCAGTCTACTTTCCCTGCCTATTGTTATAGTTAGCCTTCCCCAGGTTAATACTTTCACCCAAGGACTACTCTTGCCCTTATCCATAAGTAATTTAAAACTTACAAAATTATGGTCACTATTCTTGAAATGCTCCCCCACTGAAAGTTCAGTCACCTGGTTGGGTTCATTCCCCAATACCAGGTTTTGTATGGCCCCTTCCTGAGCTGGACAATTCATGTTTTGTTTCAATGAGAGGAGATATTGTTACTCCATAACTGCATCACCGAATGAATGAGTTAGTGAGAATAAATGTAATCTCTGTAAATCAAACAGTAATCTAGAAGAAATCTTAAAAAGACCCCTTGAGAAAGGTACTCAAAGAAGTGGAGCATAACATGAACAACCAAGTTGTGTGTAATTGCCTAACCAAGCCATGGCTGTAAGAAATATTACATTGAAACCTGTGCATTCAATCATCTTCATAAAGAGATACCTAGAATAAAATAGCAAGGATGTTTTAATGAACCTCTATAAAACAGTTCAACCTTACTTTGGCTTTCAACTGTGGACACCAGAAGAATATAAAGGCTTTACAAAATCAAAATTCAGTCAGAATAGTTTACAGAGAACCTGGGGCTGCCCTTCTCAAAACAAAACTACAGTATCGCTTTTCCTTCTCTATTGCTGACTCAAAATCCTGGAACTGCCTAAATACAAATAGTATAATGTTAGGAGAGTGTGTCGCATTTTGCATTTGTGAGGCTTGATTTTGAATAGAGTGTGCAGTTTGGTCCCCTTGCTTGAGGAAAGATGGAATTGCATCAGAGGCAGCTCAGAGAAGGTGTTATAGTCAATTCCAGAGATGAAAGGCTTGTCTTGTGAAGAGAGATTGGGCAGTTTAGGTCTGTACTCATCAGAATTTAGAAGAATGAGAGGAGACCTAATTGAGGTGAATAGATGCTAAAGGTGACTGACAAAGGTGAGAAGATATTTCCTTTGTGGGGCAATGTATTACGAGAGGTCATGGTTTTAGATTAAGGGTTGGCAGTTTTTAAACAGGATGAGGAGAAATTATTTCTCTCAAAGAGTCAAGAATCAGTGGAATTCACCACCCAAGAGTACAGAGGATGCTGGGACATTGAGTAAATTTAAGGAGGAGATGGACAGGTTTTTAATTAGTAATATGTTAAAGGGTTACGGATAGTGGACAGGAAAGTGGAATTGAGGCCACATAGAGATCAATCACGATCGTATTGAATGGAAGAGCATGGGAGGCGATGGCCTAGCGGTGTTATCATTAGATAATTAATCCAAACACCCAGATAGTGGTCTGGGTTCAAATCCTGCCATGGCAGACAATGGAATTTGAATTCAACAAAAAATAGACAGATTCTGGAATTAAGAGTTTAATGATGACCATGAAACCATTGTTGATTTTCAGGGAAAATCCCCCTGGTTTACTAATGTCCTTTGGGAAAGGAAACTGTCATCCTTATTGGTCTGGCCTGCATGTGACTCCAGTCCCACAGAAATGTGGTTGACTCTTAACAAATTAGGACGGGTAATAAATGCTGCCCAGCCAGCGATGCCCAAGCCCTGTGAATGAATAAAATAAAAGCTTCAGGGACTGAA